TATATATATATATTTAGAAAATTAAGAAAAACAATACGTTTTATTTATTGCGCATAGGCTGCAAGTAAATAGAACTCATAAAATAAGTTCAAAATGTAGAGAACGCATGGGAAAAATTACAGAACATTGAAAATAGGGAATAAAAAAGAAAAATAATAATAAAAATAACAAAAACCTGAAGAAAAATTCCGAAAAAAGGGACAGAAAATTTAAAAAAATCTCAAAAAATTCGAAAAATAATTTTCCAGATTTTTTAAAATTTTTTGCCCTTTTTTTGGGAATTTTTTTCCGGTTTCTGTTACTTTTACTTTCACTATTATTTTTCTTTCCCCCCCTTTTTTCATTGTTCTGTAATTTTTCCCTTGTTTTCTCTACATTTTGAATATATATATATATATATATATATATTGTTATTTTATTTTCTAAATGCTGTTGAAGTCATGTGCACAGCGTTGCACTTCAGCACTCCATTTCTAACAATGTTTGAATGTTGCTATTGCCATGCACTGCTAAAAACAAAGTACAAAGCTACCAAAACTTTTCCTAGTGGTAGCAACATTTATGTTTGAATGCTCTTGAATTTAAATTAGAAAAATTATTGTTTTACTGACCATGGCAAATCAATTATTCAAAATTATGCATAAAATATATTAGTAAGGATTTTAATTGTTGGTGGATTAGATTTTATAAGCTCTTATTTGAAGCTACGCATAACCTTGAGTTTTGTCTCAACTTCCTAAATTTATTGTGTGGATGTTATTGATAATTTTTTTTACTTTTGCCACCACTTTTTAATATTTATTGCACCGAACCCTGGTGAAATTACTCCGTAAATTTAAGAAAATTCTTTCTGCCTTGAAAGGGCTGCCAACGCTTTTTTAGGAGAATTTCTTCTAGCTAAGTTTATGTTTAAATGTATGATTCTTTGTTTTATAAATTTGATTTAAAGTTATTTTTCACACCACTACATGTAAATGATTCAAAAGTTTTCATGGAACGTAATTTCTTCCTAGATCTCTCGCAGTGCGGCTTTTAAAATGTTAGTAAAATTACCAAATATTCTGAAAAGCTTTAGTTTTCTCTAAAATATTTTTCAAAAATCGTAGTAGTTTGCTGTCATGCTTTAACTATTGCTTAAATGCCACTATGTAAACTTTTCTTTCTACAGCCGCACAATTTGGTAGCTATGAATATGTAACCTTCAGTATGAATTCGAAACAAATCTGACGTTTCAAGGGCTGGTTCACTCCTTTGAAGTAGCTCTCGCCGCGCCAATCCTCCGATTTTCTCTAGTGACGACACTTTGGCGCAAAGCTCGCACTTTTACTTCAAGAACAGAGCTTTCGGCCTTACTAGCTCTAACTGATATTGGAGCATTTCTTTTTGCGACATATTCTAAGACATTTGTTATTTTCTATAATGACTTTCCTCAGTTTTTGCAGCGAATTTACAAGAATTTAAAACTATTATCGAAATGCCAGTTTGCGCGATTGCAACTTGAAAAAATTTTGATAGAAAAACAAAAGGAAAAAATATAATTTTCCGCGTGTTCCCTAAAGTAAATGAACAACTATGTAAAGAATGGATTCCGAAATGACACAGTTAATATAAAACAGCAATACGTTTATTCGGTCATTAAGAACTTTTATAAAAATTCATTATCTAAATAGAAACCGCCTCGTTACTTCAAAAAGAAAGGCAGGTGAAAAAAATGGATAAAGTCAAAGAAAATTGAAATGTAAGTAAGAAGTATAAATAAAATATATAGTATATAGTTGGAATTCTCCTAATTTCATAACATATTTTTTAATGTAGTTATTCTTAATATTTATGATTTTTTTTTTCAAAATTATACTCTCTCAAATTTAAATATCTATAAATTATACTATCGTAAATTTAAATATCTATAAACAATTGTAAAATTTCTAGTGTCATTATGAACCTGAATTATTATTTTGTTTCAGTAATTATCGTTTAAGGTTGATGTTTCCTAATGATAAGGTATGAACAAATTGCTATTAACGGCATATTTTAAAATCGGGGATTCTAAATTTAACTCAACTTATTGTTATAAAAGAATATGTAGATAAAAAAATGTCGATATATACTTTCATTTTTCTTAATAATTAAAGTTGAAACTGAACTTTTTAAAATAAAGTATTTATAGTGTCATTTTCGCCAACTAGTAAAATATTTTTATTAGTTTAAAATGGTATTTTCTTAATATACTGGCCAAGAAAGTTTTTTTAAACTATGTTTATGAATGGAAATAATGTGTTAATTACGCAAAGTTTGAAAGCTAATAACCAGAAAAAGTCTAACTTATTTTTACAAAGAGAAAGATGCAAAGTTATCATAATATCTTTGCGTGCGATCTTCCGAGATCTGTGGACACAGTGACGTCATGAGGAGGGAAATCGTAACTTCAGTTATAAGAGCGGAGTGAACTAGCCCTTCTATTCTCTTTAGCCCTGACAAAAGGCAGCCATTTTTTTAACCCATTGGGCTATAATGTTCCCATTTTGAAAGCACGTCATTCATTCAAGAAGAAAAAAAAATATCTATTTCATTTCAAACATCTATTTTGTAATATTAAAATGTGTGTGACCGCCATGACATATTATCAGCATAAATATCAATTTAAAAAAATTCATTCAAATCCAATTTTTTTAAACTATAGATGACAACTTGACTTTCTTTAACGGTAAACGAAAATAAAGATTTAAAGGTAGTTTTCTTAGCTTTTAAGATAGTTCTCTTGTCACTTCAAAATCTTGCATCTATGCATGTATGCATTATTTATTTTTCAAAGAAAGTATAAAAATTTTTTTCTCTTTCAAATCAAGTGAAAACCTAAAAAAAAAAAAAAAAAAAAAAACTCCAATGTTCATTTATTACTACTATTAAATTATTTCAAGTCCTTGCGGGAGTTCTGTATGCATTTTGTAGCAATTCTGAACGTTTTATTATCGCAATTATTTTTAATAAAAAATATTTTCAACTAAACATTTCTTTCAATGTTTATTAATACTCTATATGAAGGTTAGTAAAATATATTATTATATATAATTTACATTGTTACTTGTTATAATACATTTACTAATAACAGCATGTTATTATTAGTAACTTAATATCTGTGAAAAAATTGCTGAGATAGGTTAAATTATTATTGTAGGTTAATCGATATAAAAAAGCAACTTTTTAAATCTTTTCTTATCTAAATTTTGGAAAAAACATGGTTTTCCTGCCAATTTAATTTCACAGGATATTCGATGAATTTTATATTTCACCGAGAAAGTACGATTCAGAATGAAACAAATAATAATTATAGATATGTAGATTGATTATAGAAGCAATGCTTAGAAACGAATATTAGCTGTTGAAGTTCATGGTTAATTATAGTTTTGTTTATAAATATAATTAAAATAATAAAGATTTATTGTAGCAAATGGTTCTCATATGGTAGAAAATTGCTTAAGGAAATAATTATCGTATTGAAGGTCATGAATGATTAGTTTCAGGTCTAAGCGATTTAATCAACACATTCGTTCACTTATTGAGGCAAAATAATAAAACTGAACATTTTTAATAGTTTTTTAAATTTATTATCTATATAATTTTGATTGATATTGCTATAAAGTATTGCTAAATTTACGTGAAATGCCAAATTACTTCAAACTTGTTCTTCAAACTTTTTCCAAAATTCCAAACAATACCTTGGAGAAAAATGTTCATTTCCTTTATCGGAGAATTTTCAAAAAAACGCATTTCAAGCTTTGTCTTATTTTTTTGAACTATATCATTCACTACTTATTCTAAGATGCCAACTTGCTTCAGACATCAGATAAATGTTTTCGATAGGTAGTTTTTTGATATATGATTCTTGGTAAACTTTAGTTCTTTAATATACGATTCTTGGTAAGCTTCAGTTTTTTAATATATGATTTTTGGTAAACTTTAGATTTTAAATATATGATTCTTGGTAAACTTTAGTCTTTAAGTCTATGATTCATGGTAAACTTTATTCTTTTAATAAATGATTTTTGGTAAATTTTAGTCTTTTAAAATATGATTCTTGGTAAACTTTAGTCTTTTAATATATGATTATTGGTAAACTTTAATCCTTTAATGCATGATTCTAGGAAGAACTGTAGCTTGTAAAGATAAACCGATTGCGGATTTAAAATCAGCGATGCAAAGATATCTAAGAACCGTTCAAGAATCTTTTGCAACAGAAAAAAAAATTGCTCCACAGTATTTAATTTTTAAAAATCATCTGTCCGAAAATAAGCAAAAAACCAGTCTTTATTTTGAAAATAAAATTTTTTATCTCGTGCCTGAGATATTTATCATTAACAATTTTTGTGATTGGAATTTTGAGTATAAATATCTATGAAAATACAGTGTTATTTTATTTTTCTAGATTTTTGATCATGTGCCACTTTTATTGCGGCACTTGCATTCAGAAACCGCTGCGTGGAGAAACAGGAATATAATTTTCTGCTTATCGAAACGAGAAAGAAACCATTTATAGGTAGGTAACTCAAATTTTTGTTGCTTTCACATTTAAGAAGTGTTTAGTTTATAGGCTTTAAAAGTTTAGAAGTTTTATGTTTTAGTAGTTTATAGGCATAGTATGTTTAAGCTCGTAAGCTAACGGCTTATAATTTATCTGCTTCACATCTGTTTTATAAATTTGTAGGCTTATAATTTTAGTTTATAAGTAAAATTATTGATGATGTAGGTTTCAAGATAAAAGTTTAAAACATTATTTATATCAATATTAAATTTATAAATTATTTAGGTTTAGTTAAGCTTATAAGTTAATTCGTTTAAGTTTAGTTAGTAATTTAATTTGATTAAATTAAGTTTATAATATAATTTGTTTCAGTTAAGTTTATTAGTTCTGTTTTATTTAAGATATTAGGGATTTTACAAATTCCTTATCAGGCTTCAAAATACAATTGTCGCACGTTTGTACTTTCTGTCACAGCAAATTGAAAATTTTAGACTAGCAGGCAACTGCAACCGTAGATTTTAAGAAAAGAGACACACGTGTACTTAAAAATATTGGATGCACTGAGCCGGTTAAACAAGTTTTAATGAGAATGAATATAGTTTTAAGTGTATAAACTTCCAATTATTAGTCCTATTATTAGAATTACACTTTATGAATAATTATGATACATTTTCTGAGGCAATTCAAAATCAAATACTGACATAACAGATTTAACATAACCACAGCTCTTGCGAAAGAAATTATTATTATTACTCATTATAAATAGTATTATTATTAGGCACGCAAGTAGCTATATCGTATGTTTGCCCTTTCTGTCGCGGCAAATTAAAAAATTTAAACGAGCAGGCAATTGCAACCATAGATTCTAAGAAAATAGGTATACGTGAACTTAAAAATATTTGACACACTGCACCGGTTAACCAAGCTTTAATGTGAATAAATAAAATTCTAAGAGTATAAACCTCCTATTAGAATTACAGTTTGTGAATAATTATGAAATATTTTCTGAGGCAATTCAAAATCAAGTATTGATATAACAGATTTAATATAACCACAACTCTTGCGGAAAAAGTTATTATTAATCACTATTATTATTATAAATAGTGTTATTACTAGGCACGCACGTAACTTTTGACAAATTACATGTCATTATCAATGAAAAAAATATGTGCAACGGATTTTCATGCTTTGAATAAATAATTTCACTGACAAAGAATTATCTCAATTTACCACTAAGGGCAGTTTGACTTAAGTAACTAGAATAATAGTTCGGAGGAGATATCAACTTTTGTGGTATTTTATTTATTCGTTTGAGATCTCTTTCGTTCAGACGGCGTCTGTTTAGTAAAAGGAGAACAAAAATAAATAAAATTTTTCATTAATTGAAAAAAATTTTTTTTATTGATTTTCATGAATTGACAAAAGTTGATTCTCATTAATTTTTAATGCTCTTTATTATTTTCATTCAAAAGATAGATTTTTTTCCCTATTTATTTCAGTTTTAAGAAACCAAATATTAAATACTGTAAAGGTCTACATTAATGGGATATGCTTGTCAGATCTTTTTTACATTTATTAAGGTGTTTGTGTGTGAAATATACTATTTATCTTTTAAAAAGCTAAATATTAAATACTATAAAGGTCTACATTAATGGGGTATGTTTGTCAGATCTTTATTTCCTTGATCGAGGAGTGTGTGTGTGTGTGTGAAATTTACTATTTAAGTTTACATTCGGATCTAAAATGGACGCTTTTTTAAAGCCAAAGTGGTAGGCAACGGTTTTTTTCCGTTGGCCATTAATGAATTAAAAGTAAAAGATCGAAAATTTTTTATAGATTGAATTAGGAAAAGAAAACCTTCTGTTTAAACTGGTAGAATACAGAGTCAAAGACAGCTGGCACTAATTTTTTTTAAAATTCAAAGAGTTAAATCAGTTTGAAATTGAATAATTTTGAACTACCAGAGCCTGCTAACTAAATTTTTTTTCACTGCCACTCTCTCTCTTTTGAGAAAAATGTCAAAACTGACAACTTTTCAATGTTTTTCCGTGCTTGCTTGGTACATCTGTACCAGTAGGTTTAATTTTAGTAAAGCAGTGCAGTTTTAATGCATCAATAAAAATTGTAAGAAGTTACATTTTTTCCACAAACATTTGCATGATGATTTCACATCAGAGTTCCTATATAGCTCAGAAAATGTACAATAGATCTCGAAGTAAAAAACATACCAGAGGTATCTAAAAAAAGGAAATTTCTACCATTATTACATTTTCCTAGCCAAAAAAGCACCCTCTTTACATTACATTATCGGGACTCTTACTTCATCTGCCTTCAACTCCGAGACCTTAAAGTTGTATTAAATTCATGTTTTAATCATAGAATAATTTCATAGCATCAGCATACAATAATTTGAATTAATTTGAGAACGTTGCTTTTCCGTTAAAAACATTTGTATTGTATTTTAGTGTTTATTTAACAATAAACAGAATTTATTTTATTTACATTATGTATTTATTTAATTTTTATTTGATGAACTTACTGAATACCTTGATTGGTATTTTTTTGCCCTGAAACATGATCGCTCAAATAACAAATAGAGTTGTTTTATTTACGATTAAAAAAAATTGATACAAAAACTTATGAATGGAAAATTAAAAAAAAAAAAAAAAAACTGAAATAGAAAATTAAAATAGAACGTTTTTAATATGATCTTTGACACAAACAAGAGAAAAAAAAGGACACAAAAAAGTTACTTTCTAAAAAAGAAATTCTCATTATTTTTGGCAATTTATAAAAACAGTCATTTTCTGACAATACCAAGAGTCAAGAAATGTATAAATAACGCTTAACAATCTACATATCGAGATGTCACGCCATTTTAACCATATTCATCAAATTTAGATCCCTGTTAGACTAATCAAATCAGATTAATATATTGCAGTAAAGATGTAACTTAGGAAATTTAGATATTCTTTAAGTAAGAGTGACAAAGATAATTCAGCAATTAAGTGGAAAAATCTGCGACGACTGCAAGAAAATAACTGAATACTATAAATCACTTTTCAAGGCATCCAGTATTTCAACTATTTACAATTTTGTCCCAGCCCAACCTTGACGAAGAAGATTTTTTATTGTTTTACACCATTTTGCATTTTACGATCAATTTTGGTCACAACTTCCTTTTAATAAATTAAATTTCAAAACTGTGTGGTGACAAACATTACCGCTGCTTTCTCATCCTTGGAATCCTTGCTTTTTCTTCCGTCCTTGTATTCAGATTTTTTTTCTAATTCAATTTTTGATTAGAATTTTATATTGGGAATATTTTTATGTATAGAGCTTTTGAGGCCTCTACTTTTTATTTTACTGTTACTTGAAATGGCAAATTTAGTAAAAGGGATGTTTAAATAAACATTTTAATCGAATAGAATTTTTTTTTCTGGCCACCATTCTCTTTTACAAAAAATCTTAATCTACAATTTTAGATCTTAATGTAGACCGCTGCCTCACACGTTTTTCGTCAATGCCTGACAATTTTTAAACCTTTCGAGGTTGATTTTTCCCAGTGGTAGTTAAATTGAATTTAAATTACAATTTTAAACCGAAACATACGTTGTATTTTGAAAAAAACGTAAGCGGACTCTCATGGCATACCTGCCAACTTTCACTCTTTCCGAGAATGGATTTTCAGAGTGGTTGTAATACAATTAGCGAAAAACAATCTGACTCAAAAATATATTTATGTTTTGATCCCGTTGAAATTCGCTTGCGCAAGGATTATTATGCTTTTATATATTTATTGTAATTATTTATATGTAGTGGTGGTCAAACTCATTTATAATTATCATTATTATTCAAAAAGTTAATAGGAATAACATGAGTATTGCTACCACTTTAAATATGAAAATAAAATCTTCCGGAAAATCCGGAAGAGTTGGCAGGTATGCCATGGTACTATTAATTTATATATGCTATTTTTTTAAGAAATAATGGTGCTCAAAAAGATAATAAATTAAGTTTATATGCAAGGAATGTATAGAAAGCATACATTTTTCTACCACTTTAAATACAGATTTTTTTTTACGTCAAATGCATAAAAGTTGGCATGTATGCTTTAGAAAAAGACTTTTGTTTTAATATAAATGAAATGTATGTATACCCTCCAACTGCTACGGAATTTCCGTAGTTTCAGAAATCTTCTTTTCAGACGGTAGCAAAATTAATGTCTTAATATTTAAAAAAAAATAATTTTAGCGTAACTTGTCCACTATTACTAATAAAAGTGCAGGCCATATGGCTAGATTCTTAATTTCTTTTACAAGTTTTATGAGAGATCCATTTGCTTTAAAAATTTCTACTTTGGTTCGCTACCACTAGAAAGAATTATTTTCAAAATCCTCATAAGTTGGAGGGTATGTGTATGTAGAACCGTACGATTGAAAAACTGTTTGCTTAAAAATAGTTAAGATTGAATTCCTTGTAATATTCCTTCAGTCTCAATAAAGAGATCAACAAAATCGATGGTGTAGTTTAATCCACATACGTTAATTGACCAGAGGGGAAAGATTTCATTGAAGCAGAAAAATTTTAAAAATATATTAGTTTGTACAAATGACAGTAAAATACAAATTTTGCGTTAATCTTTCGGACATATATAAATGAATTTCAATAATATCGAAAATTCATGACTCCAATTTGAAATTAAAAAAAAAAGTTTAAATTGTTTTTTTTCTCTTTTGCATCTTTTATCTTTATTTAGAGCACGTGGTTATAAAAAAATTATAGTTTTATAGTTTGCGGCAAATTTTTCGTTACATCCAAGAATCCTAAAAACCGACAATTTAAATTATTTAATTTTTTCACAACTGGTTTTGCACATTTTTAAGCATAAGAGTACGTGACTGCAAAATATTATTAGTTTTAGGTTAACTGAATTACGTGGCATAAAAAGCTAAGGTTTCACTTTTTAACATAAAATAATTGTATGACAGCACCTAAAACATTTTCATATCAAAATATTCTTCTAAACCTTCTCTAAAAAAATTGCACATTTTCACATTATTTCATCTTTTGGGTTTTGATTTATGAGAGTGAGAAGCACTTGCACCGACTTTTTTTATGAATATAGGGGGAAAATTTAAATAAAAGCTCTTTTGAGCAAAAAATATATTCTTTATGGAGTTAATCAGAAGCCTGATGCACTAATTCAATTCCCCCCCCCACCCCCCAAAAAAATTGTGGTTAGAAGATTTTTCATTTGGAATAATAGATGTTTGGAATAATCGAATACTCAGTTATTATTTGCATTACGTGATAAATAACTAAAGAAATAGATTGATTAGCAAGACAGCAAATAATAAATAAAAGCTCCACTTTTTTGCATTAAAATGATTGAAAACATAAAGTCCGTTATGACAAAAGCTGAATAAAAGAGTTAATTGGACGTAATATTATTCCAAGGGCTGTAAACACAGCTTCTTAAATAAATTATTTCTGCGATTAAGAACATTGTTTTAAAGACTTATTATCTAAGTTAACTTTCATAAAAATAATAGCTGAGTTATTTGGTGATGTTCTTCGGACAAATATTTATTTTAAAATAGTTAATTATTTTAGTTGGATGTTATTGGAACAATATAATATCTTTTACTATTTTGATTCAGTTCATAAAATATATGTTAACAGAAGGAACTTTTCCGTTATTTGGAGTTTATAACTTGAAAACAATAATAGGAATTGTATACTAGCGAAATTTTCAAATAAATCTTATTCATTGAAATAAAGTGCCACCACGTTTCAGATTAGAACAATGCAATTCAATTTAAATATTTGTTGTTCATATGTTTGACAACTAAATTGAATAAGTACAGATGGTGAGTGCAACCTCGAAAATTAAAAAAATAGTGGTAGCGAAAAATTGAAAAAACAAATTATTTTTACTTTCGTTCGTTCGTGCGTTCGTTCGTTGTAATGGAACTGGGCATCTGAGGCCTTACGGCCCTTTTCCCATTCATCCTGAAATTAGACTAAGAAAAATACATAACAAAAATAAAGTTTGGATTGCAAAATGGAGTTCATTATTTTTACTTACTTCTTTCTATCAAAGTATATTTGTAAACTAAAGAAATTATACACTGATTATTATCTTTAAAACTTAACCTTTTTTTTTTAAAATTTAATTCTGTTTAATTTTTGATTGCAGATGAAGGCATTTGGTCAAAGTAACTTTTGTTTACAAACAATTTTCTTTTTCTAGGAACCCTTCTGCCCGCAGTTGTATCGATATAAAATTGCGGTTTGAAATTCCGTTTCGACTTCCTCTTAACCCTGGTAAGAAACCCAATTGAGAAATGCGCAGTTAGTAACGATATCGACATGGATTCTCGAATTAGTTTGGATTACATAGTAGAGAACCCCGATTACACCAAGAAATTGGCTACTGGTGAGTAATAAATTCTATCATTATTTCTAGTTATTAATTAGTAACCTGCTGTTTTATGGGCGAAAATGTTCTTTTTCATACAAAAGCCGCCGCATTTGCATTTGATCAACATAATTAGTTTGTGAGATGGCCGAGAAAATTATTCAATAAACCTATGCTTTAAAGGCATGATAAGAATGTCCTTTAAACAAATCACCACTTTGTGCCAAGGCATTCTGTTGAGTAACCAACTAACTAATTTTTTGATTGCAAAAACCAAGTGACTAGTTTCTGGTTTAATCTGGTTTAAATTTTGAAGTTATATAGATATTTTTTTTTGTATGTGATTGTTTTAAATATCTTATCACTTTCCATATTGTTCATAACTGCGTCTTACTTAACTTATTGCATTCTGTTTAAACTAAAATACAGTAAGACAACCGATTTCTTTGTTTCGAAAGATTAAGAAAATAATTTATTAGTTAGAAATTTTATAGAAAATTGGTGTTGAGGATCATGTTTCTTGCTACTTTTTGTTGCATTTTGTCTCTGCCATTGAAAAAAAAAATTCCACCACTACGTATACATAATTAGGGTTCCCACGACCTGGATAAATAAGTGGTAGTTAAGATTTTTCAATAGTTTAGAAAAGTGCTTAAATTTAGCTTTCTTTTGAGAAGTACGAATTTATCCACAAGGTATTTTTTCTCTTTCATATACATTTAGTATAAATTTAAAATTTTTTATCTTAAAACATCTAGATTTATCTCACTTTTGCTATCACTTTAAAGAAATTTCTAGAATGTGGGAGTCCTGCATAATTGAATGAAATATACAAATTGTCTATGTTTTAAAACCTGATAAAATTTAATCAGAAGTTCCTCTTGTTTTAAAAACTTCTGCTCTAGTTTATTACCCGGAGAGAAGATATTTCGCAAGAACCTCAAATGTTTGATAGCGAGTTAGGCAGTAATTATTTTAAGTGTTAGCAAAGTATTTAATTTTTAACAAATTCTTGGTATTTTAATTGCTGTTTTATTACATCTTCGTAAATTTTTTCCAAAGACGTACAAGTTCGTAGCTATATTGAAGTATCAATACAATTATTGTGCAAAACTTAAGATACAAAACTATATTAAAATCAACTATAAAATATAACATAACCATAGCTGCCAACTTGTACGGCTGTTGAGAAAATTTTTTCTTGGTATCAGCATTAAATCTTCAGTTTAAAGGTTAAAAAAAACCGACTGGCCTGTGTAGGGGTTAGGGAACTTCCCTTGCATCAGAAAGGTTCTGGGTTCGAATCCTAGGCAAGACATGGATATTCTTTCCTTCTCTGTACTATCTGTCCTTACTGTGGGAGCAACGTTGGCCCACCTAATATGGTGCCCTGAAAGAGAGGCCAACAAATCTGCCCTGTAAATGCCTGAGTTGACGAAATGTTAACACAGGTGGGCATTGGAAAAAAAAAGTTTCAAAAAAATAATTTCAACCTATCACGATAAATTATTCATTAAAAAATATGTAGATGCTTGTGACCTTACTTGGTTCCTAAAAGTTTAATTAGTTTTATTTGTAGAAAATATTTCCAACTTTAATTGTTGTTTTACTACCTTTTTGTTAAATCTTTTTCAGCGACCGTACAAGTTGGCACGTATGCGCAACGCAGGTTATATTATCAATAATAAGAAAGTTAAACAAGTATTGTTTATGACATACGCTATGCTTGCAACCTCTGTTTTTATTTATAAACTATATTTAAGAGTAAGAACACTTATATTTAGTACATGAGATAAAAAAATTCACTATAAAGACACCAAACATGATGAAAATCTTTTAAATGTTGTTTTTATTTCAACAACTAAATTCAACTCATTAGAAAATATTTGTTATTTTTTTACTTATTATTTTTTATAAAGTTTATACGAAGCGTTTTTTTTAGTTTATAACTTACTTTATCGCATTTGTCTTTGCCTTATTTGGAAATATTTTTCAAAAGGCGTATGTTTATAATGACATGACGACTCATCTTTTAGATACACAAAGATACACAATTGTATTTTTAATTTTATAAATTTGATTCATGCAAATTATTTTGGAATCTCTAAAATTACGGTGGAACTTTCATTACTCTTAGAGGTATTAGACTTCTTAGGCTATCGGACTATATTCTAGCATTTTCAAACTATGCGTTTGCGTACAAACGCTCAAAAATGGGCAAAAGTATAACTGCGCATAGTTGCATTCAAAAGGTATTTCCTTTTAACCGTTAAGAGACTAAATTAGAACTTTCAATTACTGGATTTCTTCTACATAGCAACAATTCGAGAGTAAATTATGATGTTACTTCACAGTTGTAGAGATATTTTAAAGTTGTAGAGAGTTAAATTTCTGTTACTTTTGACAGCATTTTAAGACGCTCACCAGAATTTTTGTTTGAATTATTTACATGTTATAGTGGGAAAAGTAACTAACTTAACTGAACTAGGTAATCGTACACTAAAACAAAGCCCACGATAATAATTTAATTGGTTGTAAATAATATGTTCATGATCATCCTAATAATAGAATTTTGACAATAGAATTTGAACTCAATGATCATTCATTAGTTTTGATTATGATATTTCTGGTGGACTAAAAAAAAATCTGCCTACCGTGGACTGATCATAAGCTTCCAGTAGATCACCGAAGTCAGGCATCACTGGTTGCGATCAGTGAAAGTGTGGGTGACCACTTGGATCATTCTGTAAAGGGACCACGGTACTGGCTGAACTATTCTACTATAAGCTCCCAAAAGCAGGGAGCCATCCCATTCTACAGAGGATTAAAATTATGATAGCATGTCTTCGGATTATCCTCAGGGATGTCTCCCAGACCGTCGCCAACAGCCCACTGTGCAGCTCTAGTGCGACGTAAATAAAGTACTACTACTACATACAAAGATGAACTTTTTTCATCTCTGATGCTGCATATGCACGTGGAATTTTAAAATATCATGGGGATTATGAACATGCTGAATAGTATTCGCATATATGCCACCACTTTTTATTTTTTTAATACTGTAGGAACCCTGTTTACGAAATCATTAGATTAACCATCTAATGTGGAAACTGAAGTAAGTGCATTTTTTTATTATGGTTTCAATAATTCGGTGCATGTTATGGACAAAGGTAAGTATCGTGCAAGAAATAAATAGTTAAATATCGGTATTTCAAAATCGTTGAGCTATAATAATGATGGTATCTTGAATCATACTACTATGTCAGCAAAAATCTATTTAAATGTACCACAATATCGTGTTTAAACTTGGCACAATGTTATACTACATTATGGTTCTGTATTTTATTTTATTTTCATCGAAAGAATTTCTGTTTCTAAAAGATTCGTAAAATATTTTAGATCATCTTTGAAACCACACTTCTGATAGATTTTATTTTAGATTTGAAGAAAATATTTGTTTCTCAACCTTTATATGATTTTACATCATTTATGTTTCGCTGAATATGGGAAGAATTAGATGGTTTTAAAAAGTTAAGACTAAGTTCCAGCCTAGTAGCGAATTAAATTGTAAAAATTATAGAATAAGGATAATTACGCCTGCTATTTTAAGTGTCACTACGAGAATAACTGCGTTAAAGTTGCCTTTCATATGATACTTGGAAGTTTTGATATGTAGTGGTAAAAAAATTACTTAAAATGGAGAATACTGAATTAAAAATAGCTTAAATTTTGTTACTACTAGAAAATACTTTCTACAAAGCGGAGCAAGTTTGCTTACCTGTAAAGCGATTGATATAGCTATCCAGGAAAAGGTTTTGATTGCTAGATAAATAGTTCTATAATTTAAAAAAAAAAACAGTTTGTAGTTCAACAGTTGCAGATCAAATCGAAAGTGTTTTCATTTTTCACAAGAATGATGATTACAAAGCCATCTTTGCAGCAATTTAAGAATTACTATATTTCACCAAATCAATAGCGTGGAAAATAGGTTTTCCTCGAGAGTTATTACACAATGAAGGTGAGCTGAGATGGAAGACAAAAACATTCCTGTCGACAACAAAAGAACGGATTATAATACATATAATGTTTAAGACGACCTTGAAGAGATATTGATTGGGGAGGAATTTAAAGAAAAAACTATTCCTCTTCAACCCGATTTTCAAATTTTGTTTATTCAACATCCAAAATTGTAAATTTTGTTCTAAAATTTTTAGGGAATGTAAAAAAATGCTTGTGGCGGTAGTGTAAATTTTTATTTTTACGATTTCAATCGACTGCTGGCTCCTGGAAATACTAAAATCTTAAAATTCGCTTTTCTCAGAATCAGCTTTCATCGACACGAACCGTTTTCCATCTTCAGTTATATTTCCTTTGTGTACATTTTCTAAGCTCTTCAAATAGCCATTTTTAATGTATTTTCTTTTCAACATTATGTTTTTGTTACAGACATGTTAACAAAATTAAAAAATCTATTTAGAACAATAACTAAACCTCTTCATTTAAAGCTTTCTCGTCGATATAGCCATCAAACACAAAGATAACTATCGTCTTAGAATCTTTATTGCCTTTAAAATTACTAACGTGATCGAAGTAATAAATTCAAGAAACTCCACTTGCTGTAGTTTGCAAGACATTCTAATCGACTTGTGGTTGATAAATAGGGACTGGTTCCGCGTCAGGGTGTAAATTTGTATTGATGTCACATTGATCAGATTAGATCGCAGCTTTTGGTGCTGAATAATTCTTTTTAAAACAAATGATTGTTCTTTATCTGCGATTTAATATGTATCTTTTAGTCAAGAATAGACAGTTTTATCCGTTCTTCATTCGCTTTCATGAAATGAACCGTTGGAATACCACAATGAAGGAGACCATTACATTTATAATTTATTTATTTATTTATGGAGTAGCATCGCCCATGTCATACAACCACAAACCTGTATATAGGGCAGGTTATATTCACACCATTACATAGAAGAAAGGACATAGAACAATAAGAGAGAGTAAAAGTTACATCC